AGAGAGAGAGAGAGAGAGAGAGAGAGAGAGAGAGAGAGAGAGAGAGAGAGAGAGAGAGAAAACAAGAGGGTGTTCGTGGGAAGAAAACTGAAACCTGTCCTTTTTGTACATGTGCTGATGTCACAACAAAGAAGCATGGCTTTGACCATGCTGCTGTGTGGCCACAATACATCCATGTTCATTGGAAAAAATTGGATTCCTTATAGCATGATTTCCTGTGATATGAATTTTGTGTACATTTACATTCCAGGCTATTTCAGCTTTTATTGTTTAAAAAAAATCCCTGGCCAAAGAAATGCCATAAATAAATAAAAATTCTGAGCTTGTTTAACTAATTGAAAATTTTATTTTTATTAATATTGAAATGTGTATCCTACAGGATAAGAAAAACTAAGCACACACACATTATGTATACTGTGATATTTTTATTATAGTAACAAAGGGATTTCTTTTTTGTTTCTACTGTGGGATAAAGACACCTTAATAACCATGTATAGGTACAAATACTGTAACTTCACTTATGTCTCATTCCTACCCCTCACAGAAGTAGCCAAAAGTTCTCTTTAGCCGATGCGTTGCTAAAGTGGTGTTTTCCCTCTTCTCTCAACAAAGAACTTGTAGTTCAGATCATTTATTTAATTCTATGCAGGTCAAGATACCAAGATCAATGCTGGATTTAGATTTGGTAAGGTCCTATGCTAAATAACACTTGGAGGTCTCTTGTTAAAAAGCTGCACCAGAAGATCTCACAAAGGTATATATCATAACAGGATTGTGGTTCACCACCATCACCACCACCCAAAAAAATTGAAAACGTATATATGCCTTTTAATTATATATGAAGTCAATTTTTAAACTACACATAATAGGCACATAAGTTTTTAAAATCTGTAGAAAGCGTGAAAGCTATATAAATTTCTAAAAGTATCTTTCTGGGGGAGGGGGGGGATCTTAATTTGCGAGGCTCTGTATTGTATGCAGCTTCTTTGGAAAGGGTTAAATCTGTCATCAGATGGCAATGGTAAAACCAGGGACAGGGATCTGCCCAGCTCCAACAGGGCTGCAGTGCTTAAGTTTGCTTCAGGCCTGTGTCTTTTCTATCTTGTTGCTGGATCCTGCCTTGAATGGCCATTTTGGTTAGGAATGCTAGAGAGAGAAGAAACCTGACATGTCAAATTTTTCAACTTTCAATTTCCAAACTTTAGGGACGCTCAAAAGTTGTGGCACGCCTTGGGGATTGTAAAGATATTTTGGTTACTTTAATATAATTTAGATGTGTTTGGTAAATAACTACATAAATGTCATAACTTTTCAGACCAGCAATTCCCCAGTACCATCAAAAAACAACATTATTTTGTGTGCAGTGAGCTGGGTGGAAGATACCTTTATCATTTCTGTGCTGTCCCAACACTATATAGCTAATGTAGGAATTAAGAGCTGTCTCCTTTAAGAAACTACCTCATGGGAAATGTAACTACTTTATTGGAAATGTAGGCAGAACTGCCTTGTGGGAAATGTGAACATGTGATCATGTTCCCTGATTGGGCAGCGGAGTAACTCTGCCCGGGAAAAGTGATTTATTACGGGTCACTTTCTGAAAGCCCTTTTGTCCAAAAGTAAGCAGCTCTTAATTCCTACATTAGCTATATAGTGTTGGGACAGCACAGAAATGATAAAGGTATCTTCC